TTATAACACACAGCATTAATTTTTAACACAGCATTCATGTAAAAATAAAAACGATAGAAAAGTGTTTTGCACTAAACAGTCAGGGGCAAAATGGCCTCGTAAAAGACGTGTTAAAACGGACACAATTGAAAATTGACAAACTCAGACATTAGGCTGATTTCAGGGGTGGATCTCTAAGATTTTCACGAGGGGCAGCTAGGGGCGGATTTTCAAAAAAACCGTCGAAAATTTGGTCGCTATTTTATAAGGTCGATCAAAATTGATTTTTCGAGCACTCCCAGAATAGCCATGATCCTGCATTGACCAACAATTTTGCGCGGCATGCAATTTTTTTAAACAACTTCAAAATGCAGTTTTGCACATTTTTTGGAAACTTTTGACCAAAACCTGCCTTTTTTATTCGCGCATCACCTTCAAAAAATGTATTAATTGGCGTCCGCTCTCCCACCCCCTTTAACCTGCCCTGCATGGTTGACTTGAATAGTTCTAATTTGTTGGGAATTCTGTCATTGTGTGACAGACGCTAACAGCTTTGTTGTGTTGAAAATTAAAATTGAGCTAGAATCACTGAAAAACAACACAATCATACGAGCAAATTTAAAATTTATCAAAAAAAATAACAAGGAGTTTTTTAACCAATCTTAAAAGAAAATGACAATATAATTGAGCTGGTTTTTTCTCCAATTAAACTTAAATTCTTGATCTAGCAGTTTTTGACGTTGTTTTTTATATCATCCAAAAGGAATTGTTGCCGGGAGCTCAAATTAAAAGTAAAACAAAATCTCACCTTTGACCGTTTTTTATAAATTTACGGTGGCTTAAAGATTGCCAGTTTGACTAAGATAGGACAATTATTGCTAGGTGTATTTAGCGCTATTGGCGCTTAAGCGGAGTTTTAATCCGTTTTAGAAATCGTTTCAAAATAAATTGAAGCTAATACACAGGCCAGAGCTCTCTTGATATATTTAAAAAACCACCATGTGAAACATATCAGTTTGTACTTTACACAGCGTGTGGAGCAAAGATTAAAAAAAAAACTTCAAAAAAAAGTTTCATTTTTTCTGGAACTTTTTTTGCATTTTTCAAAAGCGAACACTACTTAATCGACCGTAAGTACAGTAGTCGGAATATTCATGGGCTTGGCTTGTTACGAGAAACTTTGGTGTTCTTCAACATCAAATAACTTACTTAATTGGCCATGAAACAAAATGATGACAATTCAGGGACGTTAACTTATCGAGAAAACTTTACCTTTGTCTGTTAAAATGAAAACTATTATTTTTTATAACAAACAATTCAATTCAAAATCGTAGAGATTTTTTCAATCGGTTGTATAGCTTCCCAGTCAATTCTAAGGGTCCTCTTCGTAAGCCTCTACAGTTTTGAGCCGCTTATCAAGGTCAAGATCAGTGATTGTTTTCATTATTTTTTTGAGCTGTTTTGTGACCAGGAAGCTGACTTTGGTTCGTTCGGTCAAAGTTCTTACAATTTTTTAAAAATTTGTTTGAGCTTGCTAATAAAATGACAAATGGATTCACAATTCAACAGCTAAATGATGTGATAAAGTTTTACTTTAGGAGATGTGCTCTTCATTCAGGCACAATTCCCCAACTGTAAACAATTGTGTTCAACTTCGCAAAATAGATATGCGTGTTGATGTTTAACTCGCTTTTTGGCCTTCTGTTTTCTGAAAAAATTCAAAGTGTATCAGTTTTTTTCTTCTTCAGCTCTAGAGTTGATTATTTCCAACTACATAAGTAATTTAATTGCCTGAAAGAGAGTTTACTGCCAAGCAGTCTCATTGGATATTTTTCTGTGAGCGTTTACGGTTTCAAGTAGTTATCGTATCGGTGGAGTGTCACGAGGAAGAATACCCGGAAAGTCGAAAATATATTTTTGTTACCGGATAGCTGAAACAAATTTTCCCCGATTCCATTTTTTTTGCTCCCGGACAGCCAAAATCTTTTTAAAAAATATAAATCTGTGATATTGTGTGTAAGACTTTTTTCTTACATCAATCGATTTTCCAATCTTAATTTTTATGTTAGTTGATTCAATTTTCTAGTTAAAATTCCTTGTAAATAAAGTCTAAGTTTTTTATCTGCGAATTGAAGAGAAAATTTTCTTAAGATGCGATGGTGCGTTATCCATGTAACCAGATAGCACAAAAATTATCAAAAAAATGTTCTGTGAATAAGTAACGAAATAATTTATGAACAAAAAAGGCGATCAAACGGTTACTTTGTCGTATTTTTTCAAAAATATGGTAACAGTTAATGAAAAAGTCGAAAACTATTTTTTGTATCATAACTTTGTTTTGATAGATTGAGATGGAAATAAAAAAACGCTTTTTTAAAACTTCTTTTCCGGCTTTCCAAGAACAATTTTTTGGGCTATCCAATAACTAATTTGTTTAGCTATCCCGGAGCAAAAATTATTTCGGCCATGCACTAAATAACAAAAAGCAGCAGTAGTGTCAGGAAGGACGCGGGGAACACGAGCCAAAAAAAGGTAGAACACAGCCAATTTGTCCTCTGTTGCAGAAAATTATGTCAAAAAAGGATTGTTACAGCGTTTGGGGATATTTCAAAAATTTTCGACCCAACAAAAATGTCGACTGAAAATTCGATTGTTTCTAAGCAATCCCACTCCCACTCCTTAAATAAATGACCTTCTTAACGACTTTTTTTTGTCGTTGGGGCCATAAAGGGAGAAAGTTTTTCTTCTTTATTTGATGCAAGAATTTAATATTTTCATTGAAAAATTTTTGGCAGCGAGAGAACCAAAACATTTCGGCTATCAGACAAAAAAGATTTTGGCTATGCGGGAGCAAAAAAAAACATCCGGTAACAAATTATTTTTTCGCCTCTCCGGGTATTCGGCTTCGTGACAGGCCACCGATACACGGAAATCGAAAATACTTAGAGAGAAAAACTAAATGGTTATATTTGCCAGCAAATTCAGCTTCGGCCGATTCTAACGTTTTATAGGTAAAAATCAATGCTTTTAGAACTGAAGAAAAAAAAACGATACTTTTTGTCATTTCAGATGAAACGGGAGGCGAAAAAGCAAAAAAAAACATCAACTACGTCTACCTATCTTCTGAAATTAAACACAATTGTTCCCACTCAGAGAAATACCTCCGATTGAAGAGCGCAACTCTTAAAATAAAAAAAAACTATCACATCATCTTGTTTTTGAACTATAAGCCAATGTTTCATTTTATAAGAAAATCCACCCGAGATATAAAAAATTTACAGAAAATTGGCAGAACGAATCAAAGTCCGCTTCCTGAGACGACTCAACGGCTCTAAAACCAACTGCAGTACCAATAATTTGCAATGATAAACACTATTACAACTTTAACAAAGGAATACAACTTGATAAACAAATGGACAGAAGTTAATGGAAGTGAGATGGAATAGAAGACATCAAATGAAGAACAAGAAGGAATTGTTAGCAATTAAGACCAAACTCTTTGTCAGAAATCTTTCACTTGTTTTGGCAACGTTTTTTTTACTGTTACTTAGTTAATTCTAAAAGTAGTCGCCGTGTTGAATGACAAAGCAGCTGAAACCAAGTTGATTTCATTCCAAGTTGATGAAAACAATAACTGATCACGATTTTGTCAAAAGGGCTCAAAAATTGCTGACTTACGATTTTTAAATCTGTAGAAGCTTACCTAGATGCCCATTAGCATTGATTGAGAAGCTATGCATTCGATGGAAACTCATTGCATATTTGAAATAAAGGATTAGGTATAAAAAAAAACCAAGAAAAAACGTTTTCAACTTTAGCCGCCAAAGTCAAGCTCCCACTCAAGCTTGTCGTCATTTTATTCCAAGGTTAAATAGATTAATTATCTGATGTTGATAAACAACCAAACTGCTCGTATCAAGGTAAAGCTCTCAATGTTCCGTTTGTATCTTAAGGTCGATGGAGTAGTGTTCACTTTTGAAACATGGATAAAATTTCCAGAAAAAATGAAAACATTTGAATTTTTTTTGAAAATCATCACTCCACACGCTGTGTAAATTAGAAACTGATATGTTTCACATGTGGCAAAGTTTTAATGACACCAATTAGGCGCTGGTATATTTGCTTTAGTTTAATTTGAAACAATTTCTAAGACGGATTAAAACTCCGCTTACGCGCTAATATCGCTAAATATACCTTCTTCAAACCCTCATGTTTTTACAAAAAATGATCATAAGTGATATCTCTTTTTTTTTATTTGAGCTTCGGGCAACAAGACTTTTTTGATGACATAGAAACACCGTAAGATACTGCTAGTTCAAAAATCAAGTTTTGTCCGCAGATCACAAAAACCACCCCGAGATCAAATATTGCGTCACTTTCTTCAAAAACCGGATCAAAAAGCCATCACATTGCTATATTGTTAGATAAGTACATAAATTGTTCTCTCGTTTTAAAAGGCAAAATGCAAAGCCTAGTTTTCCGATGCTGTCGCACCAAATTGCCAACGTTGTTTGTTGCCGGTATCGTCATTGCTGTCAACAAAATCTAATGATGTTTGCTAGTGTATAAACAATTTACACCTTAGGAATTTTGGTTCAAAGTCACCGTTGGGCGATTCGAGGCGGTTATCTTTTCTACATTTTGTTTTAGAACCAACCCTCTGTTAGCAAGCTTGCCAAACGTTGGTGCGACTGCGGCAGTGGGCATATCACGGGTTGCCTTTATTATGTTAAAACGTCATTTGCTAAAAACCCGGACAAAACATTACCTAAGGTATACATGATGAGGCAATAATCTTTTTATCACCTAGTTAGCATCAAACTTTTTGATTTACCGTATGTGGCAGCTGTCCAGTTGAACCTTAACATCTTCACGTCAATAAGTTAGGAGATACCAAGTGATTTGTCTCAACCTAAAATGCAGTTGAAAGAGCGTCCACAAATAGAAGAGTTTCTAACATTTTAATCTCTTTAGCTGAGAGAAATTCGCACTGTTATCTATTTTAGGCAGAGTCACTTTTATTTACCTTCATAGTAGCTCAAGCATAAAGTACTCGAAAGGCGTCATTCCGTTGATTGCTATTGGACCGCAGTTTAACATGTTCACATCATTTGAAGAACTGGTTCAAATAAAATATAGAAATACCGCTTGGTTTTGAGGATTAAAGCATTCTGAGATACCATTTGCAACTCAAGTACCGAGCAACAAAGTTGGAAAATTAGAAAAAAAACAACAAAACATCAAAAGTCATTATGGATGAAACAGTTCAGGTTGAGAAGCTTAAAACATTTTTTAAAAACTAGTTACAAAGGACACGTTTATTGGAGGTTACTTCAAACATTCCAATGAAACTTTGTAGCTTAAACGCAACTTTTTGCAACCAAGTTTCTGGAAATAAAGGGACCTATGCTAAGCAAAGATGCAAAATGTACGTAAACATTTTCAGAAATTTGATTGAAATAGTTGAATCATCATATACTATTCCCTATATTTAATTAAGTTTCAAACATAAACGAATATAATATAACAAAATTTCAAACAACATAACAAATTTCAAACAAATTAACATCATCAATGAACAAAAAAAATCTTTGAGAAAAAAGTTATTGCAAGTCGAGAAAAATCTTCAAATTTTACTTTTTGAGATAAAAAGATTTTAATGTAAATTTCTGGACCTGAATAGAGCGACAAATCTGAAACGATCAGTCTTCCAGAGAGATCGCCAGAGCCACCTGTAGTAGAGGAGCCAGTTACTATCGACCGAGAGGGGCGCGAGACATGGAAAGGCCAGTTCGACTTCCTCATGACTCTGGTCGGATTCAGCGTCGGCATCGGAAACATCTGGCGCTTCCCTTACCTGTGCTACAAAAATGGGGGAGGAGTGTTTTTTATACCCTATTTCATAGCACTATTTGGCGCCGGAATCCCATTGCTATTCCTAGAAGTCTCATTGGGTCAGTTTACATCCGCAAGTGGAGTGAAATCGTGGATGATCTACCCTTTGACCAAAGGAATCGGAGTCGCCACCTCGTTTGTCGTCTTCAATCTCAACACTTATTACGTAATAGTTATATCATGGGGACTTTATTACCTCTATTCGTGTTTCACTTTGGGAGATCTGCCGTGGACAATTTGCGATCCGTCTTATGGGGAGATTTGTTCAGATAACAATGGAACAGGAGGACTGAACAACTCAAACTTAGTTGAGCTGTATTGGGAAAAACAGGTTTTAGGCCTCAGTTCGGGACTGCAAAATTTGGGTTCAGTTCAACTGCACATGGCCATTAGTTTACTAGTGGCTTGGATTATTGTCTACGCCTGCATTATTAAAGGTACTGATAATTTTCTGTATCTGGCTGCGCAAACTATATATTTTTTGAAAAACCAATGTTGCTTAAACGTGGAGATATATCATGAACTTACTCGCTAGCTTTAAATACTAATAAGTCTCAAATAGTCATATGAAAAAAACTCAGAGTAGGTTGTCAAGTGTAAACGAGCACGAGGTCAAGTGGTGCATAATATCAAAGACTTTGTGCAAGTTACTATACATTTAAATCCTCTCCTTCTATCAAAAACTGAAAAAAAGTCAAAAACGTTTAAGCTATTGAACACAGATTATTTAGTTTTTAATTGCTTCAATTAGATTGCTGCGGACGGACCATTCTGTCCTACTTGCACAGTAACCGAGTAACCGAATAGAGTTTTTATTCAAAGACTCTCGAAAGTAAATGCAGCTTAGGGCAGACTTTTTTCTATCTCTTTTGATTTCTCAGCCTCAAAATCAGGTGGATCTAGGATTTTCTCGAGGGGGGGCGTTTTTCCAAAACATTTTCGAAAATTTTGTCGACCATATTGAATTTTCGAGTTCTCCCAAAGCACTGTTTTTTCCCAAAGCAATTTTCTACGCTGCAGGCAAAATTTGGAAAAACCAGGCCAAAAAAGGCATTTGTAGGTACTTTGTGGAACATTTTGACCAAAAAATCGCGGTTTTTCGGCGTTCACTCCCCCTTAAAATTAGTATATATTGGCGCCAAAGGCGCCTTTAGGAAATTTTTAGGGTCCATAACCAAAAATGGATTTTGGAAAATAGTATTAAAAAGTACTAACGAGTTTTCAAATAACTCATAAGAGTCGAGGATCATAAAAAAGTAGTTCTAGTCAAAGTTCGAACTCCAAAAAGAAAACATTGGAAATTTTTTGTTGGTGTCGAGAACAAAACTAGTCTGAAATTTTAGTGACGATCCTGGTCACTCAGAAAATTCTGAAGACTATTGACTAAACAATGATTGTTTTTATTGAATAAAAATTTGTGCACGTTTAAATAACATGTCGGAAGGGCATCTTAAAATTAGTGTTGTCGTCTCACTTCTTCTCACTTAAAAAAAAATTCAAAAAACTGTTTTTTTTACAATTTTTTTCTCCGGCCGGAAGAGTCTGTTATCTTTGCTGAAACTGGCTACTCGAGTTTCAGTAGGATGACACTTATCAACAAAAAAGCCTATTGGAAATATTACTTGAAAAGAAAAATTTGTTTTCTTGATTTCCGATTCAGAAAAACTTGATGCTCTATGAGGCTTACCACGATTATCGATGCTCTTTTATACTGTGATGTCATCAATCATATTTGCAAAAATCAGAAAGCTTTTTGTTGGTGGAAGAGGAAAAAAATATATTTTTTAAAACTTTGTAATAAGTTAAAATATAATTTTTAGATATTTGAAGACAAGAGGCTTCACTCATAGCTTTTTTTTGAGAGTAAAATGAGAAGAAAAAAAGATTTCGACAAAATTCTACGGAACAACTGAGCAAAATATCTTGGAACTCAATAACCCGCACCTTACAGAAATCGATTAACATAATTTTCAACAGAGAGGCAAACACAAGCGAAAAAACACAAATAAGTAACTTTTAAACGGAGGCGGAGCAATAAGCAGAATGGTCTAAGAGCACAATGAGTCCAAGAGCAGAAAAACAGAAAAATATTGACTTATATTGGTTTATACGGGCTAATTGATAAAACATTATTAGAATCGTCAACAATTACCAAGAAAACGAATAAAGTATGCATGCATGAATTGTATGCATTTCATTAAATTTTTTAGCATTTCATTAAATTTTTTATTACTTTTTTTAAAATTCTTGATCAAATTAATCAAAATATACATAAAATGTTCATTGCTTTGGTATTATTGACATTTCTGATAATTAATTTACAGATTTGCTAATAAAAACTGATGTTTTTCTGCTCTTGGACTCATTCTACTCTTAGACCATTCTGATTATTGGCTGGCCACCCTTTGAAAGGTTAAGAGAGAAATGAGTTTTGAAAAATAATACATTTATATTTCTACTTATTATTTCAAGAATGGAACCTCAGGCCTCAAACTTCAAAAACGCATGCCCTACACAACGGTTCACTTTTATTTGCAAGTTGGGTTCAAAAAAAAATTTCTTTATATAACACAATGTTCGGAAGCTTGCACGTGTAATTATAGTAAAAATTGTCTAAATCAGAAAAAGGCTATCTTGTGACGTTTTAGCTGACAAAAATATACAGACAAACAATGGCCCGACAACTATAGTTTTCTCGGCAGTTTAAACCTGTCTAAACATCTCAAATTTTAAACAATGCGACTAAAAAAATAAAATCGTAACTTATGTCAGAAATGATGAATTCGGTGAAAAATGTTTTAAACAGAAAAAAAAATGTAGTATCCAGCTGCAACACCCTTGCTAATCGCGAAAGTAACTGGTATGAAACACTGCGACACCTTAATTGCTTCAGGTGTGCAATGGACAGGAAAGATAGTCTGGTTTACTGGTCTGTTTCCCTATTTCATGCTCATAGTTCTCTTCATCAGAGGCGTGACCTTGGAAGGAGCCGCAAGTGGCATCAGCTACTACCTCTACCCAGACTTCTCCAAACTTTCCGAGGGAACTGTTTGGCTTGATGCAGGAACCCAGGTCTTTTTCTCCATGTCACTGGGTCTCGGATCCATGCAGACGTTGGGAAGCTACAACCACTTTCATCATAATTGCCTTCGCGACTGCATAGTTTACGCAATAATTAACTGCTGCACGAGTATTTTCGGCGGGATTTGTATCTTCTCGGTTCTGGGCTATATGGCCCACGAGATGGATCTTCCGATATCCGAAGTAACAAGAGGGGGTCCTGGATTGACTTTCATTGCCTACCCGAAAGCAATCTCGCTCATGCCGACTATGACCAAACTACTGTCGATTATGTTTTTCCTCATGCTGATTTTTCTAGGCTTAGACAGTCAATTTGTGGGCGTTGAAGGCTTTACGTCACAATTCATGGATGCCTTTCCCAAAATGTTTGCTTTTAAGCACTCTAGAGCTGTGTTCATAACTGTGTTGAGCATCGTTTACTACTTCATAGGTTGGTGTATCAAGTTTCCTATTTAGTTGAAGGTCTTGCAAGTAAACTCAGAGAAGGATCTAAAATTTTTGATAGGTGGCTTTTTGGTAATCAGATGTTCTGAACGCAATAGATTACACTTATTCAGGTAACCGACTTTTCTTTTCACACTCAACACTTCTCTTCCGCTCGAATTTGTTGCTTTAGCGGTTTTGACTTTCACTTTTTAAAAAATTATCTGGTAGGAGCTTTATATAACTTTTTCCAATAACCAAAAAATGAATTTAAAAAATCTTTAATTGTAGCTGCAAAAATGAATGTGATTTCTACAGAATCACCAGCGGAATTGAAAAATAGTAATTCACCCTTTTTTCTAACATTCAGGAAAAACAAACTTCTCAAAACATTGCCTAAATAGTTTTTTTAAATTCAACTAAAGAAGCCGGTTGCTGTGTAAAAATTACAAAATGTTACGACCGCATTACTATACTAGCAAAAAATTTAAGAAAAAAAATTCGACTTTCAGAACGTCTCATTTTTTTTGCTTTTCTCGCAGAAAGTTTTTGTGTTTTTAGAAGTAAACAGACCTCAGAAAGTGGTTCTCATCCTAGATTCGGGCTTGATCTGAATAAGAATTATATGACTACTTAAAAATTTTAGGTCTCATAATGACCACTGAAGGAGGCATGTACATCTTCCAGATTATGGACTTCTACTCAGCCAGTGGCATCGTACTCCTGTTCGTCTGTTTCTGCGAGACCATAGCAGTAGCTTATTTCTACGGCAGCCGACGTTACGTAAACGACTTAGAATACATGCTAGGCTTCAAAACTCCAGTTTATTTCCAGATTAGCTGGCTTGTAATAACACCCGTGACGTGCGTTTTAATCGCCGGGATCTTTCTAGCAACAATCCAACCGTTGACCTACGGAAATTATACTTACCCAACTTGGTCGCAGTTTTTAGGATGGGGCATTACTTCAGTTACATGTTTGACTATACCAGTGACGATGTTTGTTCAGTGCATAACTAGCAAAGGCGACCTTGAAGGGTTAATAACCGCAGTTTATAAGAAACATCAAGTCCACTCGAAATCCGAACATCCTTACGTGATCAAAGGGACTCCTAGCGCGCAACAAAATAATCTTCAAGAAACAGAGTTTAATATTCGTACCACCGAGTGTATTTAAAGAGCAAGATTACTATTTCATCTTAAATACAAAATAGAGTATACTGCAGATCCAAGACAGATGAATTTATTTGAAAAGCGTGATTTTGTATATTTAAGAGCACCCAATTCATTGTTTAACTTCATAATCCAAGAACACAGGCAGAAAGCGATTTCATGATCAACTAGAATCGAGTGTTCTCAATGGATATCATAGCTTAACCGTAAATGATTCAAACTTCGGTCCAATAAAAAACTTCGGTCCAATAATTTCAGCCTAAAAACAGTAACTTAAAATCTGCACGAGGTCTCACCCATATTCGGTATCTCACTGTTTTTTCAACAATTGAGCAAGTTTTGATTTGAGAAATCACAAAAAACTTTGACGGGTCTTTTACACTTATTCTCAGGGATTAATAAAAATCAATAGGTGACCAAATTTTATAAAAAAAATTAGAGTAATTTATTTGACATACTTTTGCCTAATTACCTTTTAAACAACTAGGACAAATATTTGCATCATTGGATTTTTTGTTCCGATCACTGAATTTCGGAAAGTTTCAGAGCTGTTTTAGCTTGTTAATAATTTTCGTTTAGTTTTTTGAGTTATGACCTTTGGTCTAGATCTAGAGTAGACTGCTTTTCGCGAGTTACTTCTTGGAGTTTATCCAGAAGGAGAAGAACTGTAGTCTAAGATTTATTCAAATTCTTCTGGTGCCTGTGATAACTGTTGGATTTACTCAAGTAATTGTAAAACAGAATAAGTAAAACGTTTTAATTTAGACTGTTAACTTTGTCTTAATTTAGATCTGAGATCATGCTTGTCTTTTCATGTCTCTATCTCAACAGCAATGTCCTAAATGACTATTGCGCTTGGCCTGCATGAACGGCCTTGATTAGTAATAACAATACATAACAGAATAATTAATAGCACTATTCTCAGAGGTTACTGTGGCAGCAGTACTACACGGTACCACATTCCCCTGACAACAACAAAATTTTATATAATACTTTATGAAATTTTATAAATAATACGAGTTGTTCAAAGTTTACAGAAAATTGTTCTCCTTTTCCTTAGTCTTTTGTTATTTTCTTTAAAACTTCTTCTTTGTTTCTTGCGACGTTCCATGATCCCGCCTCGTCCAGTGACGTAGCACCAAACTTTCTCTTGAAAAGGTGTCTCTCTAGCCTGTCAAACGTGTTAGTTTCCGACGCTTCCTTGGTGTTTATGTTTAACTTCGCTAGTCGCAATCTATAGGCCTCAAGGGCTGCCAGGTTCAACTCGGTGACATCGTCCTCACAACCAATCAGTTTTATCGAGTGTGATACGGGACTGCCATACCTCTTCGGTCCCTGGTTTTTAGTTTGTCTATTACTCCGTCTGACTGTCGTGGTGTCTTCCTCCTTATCGGATTCGTCCGCAAATCCTGGTGTGGAATAATCTACTGGGTCCATTTGTCGTGACATTAGTTTCTCGGCTTCTTTCTGGACTCCGCGAGTCAACACTTGATTTGTTACATCTTCCCATTCTTGAGATGTCATGTTATTGTTTTGAAATGTGTCCAGAATTTCTTTTTCACTTGTCTGTTTTGTGATCTTCTTGGTAGTAGGAGCTTCCTTTGGTGTCGACGACGGTATGTATACTGCCTCGTTACTCGTATCACGTTGTTTAGTAACTGTTTTGGCAGCTTTCGTCGTTCCTGATTCTTGTGTTTTGCCCCTTGTCGGTTTTTTGTTCTGGACTATCGGTCCTGCTCTGTTCGGTTTTTCCCGTTTACCTCCTAAGTTAAGGCCTCCGCCGGTTCTTGTGTCTCTTGATGTGACTACGCTCGGTGAGTTTTGGAACTTTTCTTTTAGCTGACTATCTTCTAGATTTTCGTCTTGCAGCCCCCGGTCTTTCGCGTCATGTTCTTCGGCAGAATCGCTGTCTTCCTGTACTGGGAGTGTTCCTGTTTTTTGTTGTTTACTTCTCGGTTCCTCTCCGGTTGGGCTCCTTTTCTTCTCTGCACTATAGACTTTGGGCTGTGTGGACAGTTTAGATCGCGCAATGTCGCTTTTTCTATATACTGCACCCGCAGCCGTTTTGATGGTCGATGGTGTCGCTGATACTATCTTGGATTTTAAGGGTATTGTCAGGGCCTTCCCGCTCTTCCTTTGTTCGTGTTTCCGAAGGAAACTTCCAGACAAATCCTCCTTTGATTTGGTTTGTTTGTCTTCAATGAATCCACGTTCCCATGAGTATAGAAGTTCTTTCCTCAGTTCGGGATTTATCGTACTGGTTTCATCTACGACCCGGCGTAATTCGCTGTCTGAGAGGTCCCGTCTGGTGGCATTCCACTTAGCGTTTGCCTCTAGAAGTTGTTTGAGTTCTTTAGCTGTGGCCCTCTCTTTTGCTATCACCGTGTCGTGTCGAAACAAAGGGCTTGTATCCCTGCTATTTCGTCCTTTGCGAATGATTTTAACATTCTCCCTCGACTGATCTATTCGCCTTTTCAGCTGTGATGCTGTTAGTGCCGATCTCTCCAAGTGTTCTTTATCTAAACGATCAGAATCCATCAAAAATTTATCCCTTACAATCTTAAATTCCGTTTTCGGTAATCGGCCAAAGTGTGCTTCGAACGGGGACACTTTTATTGATTTCTGTTTATTCCATCTTAGGTTCCTAATTATTGTACTCAAACATAATTTAATCGATTGTACTTTCTCGTCGAGAAGCATTACCCCCAATCTTCTTTTAATGGTTTGTATTGTTCGTTCGACAAGCCGCATCCTCGGTGATCCCCGACTGGACAGAATTTTTGTTCGATGTTATTTTCGGTGCAAAATTTTTTCATAGCTTTCCCTTTGAACCCCGAAAATTGGTCCGTTTTAATTGATTCCGGTATTCCATGAGTGTCTATGTAAGTACGGAGAAATTTTATTGTTGATTTTCCCCCTGTAGATTTTGTTACTTTGACTGATGGAAATTTTGAGTATCTATCAATAGCGACTAATAAGTATATCTTCTTCCCCTTATGATCTTCAAGTGGGCCCGCATAATCTAATTGTAGTTCTTGACCTGGCTGTGACAACAGTGGGAAGGGTTTAGTCGAATTTTTGGGAATTAAGTATTTAGCGTTCTTACCATAACGAGTACAGCTTCTACACTCTTCGGCCATATTGACTATGTCTTTATGCATATGCGGCCACCACAGGTAGTTTGAGACCTCCAACATTGCTTCCTGTCCAGGATGACCTTGATGAAGTCGTCGGAGCACTGCTTGTCTCAACTTTTCGGGCACGGCCAAACGATTGTCTACTAGAAGGCAATCGTCTACCACCGACATCTGGTGCCACAGAGGATTTGTGTAGGGTCCCATGAGCTCGAAACCATGTCTGTCATTTCGTTCGACTACTCTTCTTAGCCGGTCCATCCAGGTATCTTCCGACACTAGTTCTGCAAGAAGACTTTTGTCAAATAATTTGACGAGTGAAAGTGGGTTATCTGACTCCATTAACTGTTCCCCCCGTTTGTACTCAGATTTTCGTGAATTGTGTCTTGTTTTTTCTGGTGTGATTACACAAGTCTTCGTTCCTGAACTGTAATCCCGGTCGTCACTATCCAGAGTTAAATCGACTTCGACGATTTGTCCCACTTCTGCTTCGTCTCCGGAAGTGGACAGACCTGGTGATTTCGGGTTTTGTATCCCCGAGGTAGCCTCTAACTCCATTGCTACAAATGGGGGTTCTGTACTCCTTCCTGAGCCCACCAGTTCCCAGAATGAGACTATTTTTGATTGAGCTGTTGAAACAGTTGAGGTCGATGGTCCTTTTTTTCCTGGGCTGACTGCTTGAGCAGTTGACGTTGATTGTCCACTTTGGGTGTTTGGCAAATACCACCTCGCCTGTGTTGTTTGTTCCAAGTCCGAATCCTCTGATTCTGATATGTGTGGTCGTATCATCCTAGTCCTGTGAAACGTTGTTGTCACTTCTTCTCTCAAGGTATTGTTGTTATTTCTCTCCTGGATCCTGACATTCTTTTTCTCTTTTCCGCTATTATTCAATTCGTCTGATTGCATTTTTCTCGATTTCTGATTTAAGAATTTGCTGGTTTTTTCTAATGACTGAACCGACTGTATCCGCTGACGATTTTGAGATATACTGATTTTTGGATTTCCGCGCTTTTCTCGTTGAAACGAACGCGAATCTTCATTTCTTTCGTTCCGGTCGTGCTTTGTCCATTTTGGACCGTTTTGGTTGCTATAGCAACGGGTAGATGACGTGTTCTTAATCGACATATTTTGATCAATTCTAGAATATTCTAGAACGTTTTCGTTCCGGTCGAGCCTATACTGATCATTTATCCGACTGTTTAAACAGTCGAGAGCTTTATGGAAACTTTCGATTGATGTAACTACGAATTTTTCATCCAATACTGACTCCGGCCAGGGTTCCCCCTTTGGATTTTGAGAAAGATAATCTACTATACCCATATCTTTTCCTGGTAAATGAACAACCTTAAATTGGTAAGGTAATAGTCTGTCTACCCATCTAGTTAATCTAGATTGGTACGTTTTATTTGATTTATTTTCATCCAAAGCAGTGACTAGCGCTTTGTGATCTGTAGCGATTACGAATTCCTTGCCTAATAAATAGTGTTTAAATCGATCAACCGACCATACAACTGCAAGCAGTTCAAGCTCATTTGTGGAATATTTTTTTTCTTGTGTATTTAGGTACCTGGAAGCGAATGCGATTGGTATCCACTCCCCCTCAGCGTTTTGTTGTTCTAGCGATGCGCCCAGCCCACTGTGACTGGCATCACATTTCACCCTAGTGTCTAAACTGGGGTCATAATAATGAATTTTTGTTATATTCGCAACCGCTGTTTTTATTGACTCGAATATTTCCGAATGTTCTTCTTTCCATTCGAATTTTTTTACTTGAATTTTTACACTTTTGAGTTTCTTTTTCTCATTTTCTTCGCGTAATAGTGGTCTCAATTTTTCTGTTAGCGTAGCCGCATTTGGGATGAACTTGGCCAGATGATTTATACTGCCTAGAAATGATCTAAGTTGTTTCAGTGATGTTGGCGGGCTAAGTTTTAGGATCGCTTCTGTTTTTGTGATTTTAGGAGAGATTCCGTCCGACGATAACTTATGCCCCAACCAATTCACTTCCTGTTGAAAAAATTCACATTTCGACAGTTTTAATGCCAAATTCTCTTTATCTAGCTTTTTTAGGACATTCATAATCAATTCTTCATGTTCTTGTTCACTCCCTTTTGATACAATTAGTATATCATCAAGAAAACAGAACGTGTTTTCCGCATGATTTAATGTTCTGTCCATAGCTTTTTGAAACTCTGCTGGCATGTCTGCCAAACCATAAAACCCTGTTAAGAATCTGTATG